CTCCACAAGGGTGTACATTATGACGTAATCTAAGCATCATATGATTTTATATATCGTAAACAGATACCATACAATCAAAGTCACCGGTACAAGCAGCCTACGATGGCAGTTGAGTGTATTTGAGAAGGTGGGCGTGAGTGGAATCGATAATCATCATGTCTATAAGTTGTTGTCTTGACGTAGGTATTTACCCAAAGCCACACCAACACGTGACCGGAAGTCTAAGTAATAAACCGTATGACGACATTGCTCAAGAAGAACTACTTGTGAGTGGGTGAGAATGTAACAAACACGTAGAGGTGTACGTGCATATCGTACGCGCGTTCTATATTTAAACATACACATTTATAGACATTGTACAAGCTAGCATATTTTCTCACATTGCATCTAAATGAATGTATTTTCAAACAGAACCAAGAAGGCCGACAAAAAGGTGCGACTGCATGAAGTAAATACATCTAATGCATTAAAATCACTTAAAATTTTTATGAATCATAATATCTCTTTTGAATTCGTGGTTATAAATTTGGAGCTGCACAGGTTGCATTAGTCTTCTCACAATCTGCGCATTGAAACGCGGAGTCATTGAAAATGTCCAGGTTGAATAATGCAATTGTGATCTATATGATTTTGCACATACCTTTCATGTAACATATTTATTTCGCTTATGAGTTCAAGCACCAAAACAAGTTTATACAAATTATTTCATTTTGTTTATTTTTACCTTGACAGGCTGTGTTAAATTATATTTGCTCTTTTGGTCAATGGTATATACAAGCCTTTTTTTGTAATAAAATAAAATAAACATAAACGTCTTTACTTGATATTTAGAAAGAAGAAATCTTGTATATTTAGTCCGAAAATAAAATTAAAAAAAATAAATATGTAAAAATGCGGAATTAAAATCATGGCGGGAACAAATAAGTGTAACATGTGAACCACAATTCTGAGATTATTAAACATACAAGTAGATGAACTCAGTATTAATAGTGCGTCTGTTTGCTATCCCCGTTATTTTGCAGGGAATACTGCACATTCAACTCAAATCTATACCAAAAATTCAATTTATTGAAATCACTGAATGTCCATATTACGTGATATACGCGGAAATCTAGGCACAACGTCTGTAATGTGTATTCATTGAGTCTAGCGGGAAGTTGCGGAGTAATTGCGGCATACAACAGTAATTGTGCGGGTTTTTTTAATTGAATAGTTTAATAAGAGTTAGTGCAATTTAATATGAGAATAATAACAGTGCAATTTGGGCATCTGTGATGAGGAGAACCATGGGAAATTCAGTAAGAGAACGAAAGCCCGCGTGGTTTTGAGTGCTAGTATTCTCTCATCGAACGAGGTTGATTGTGTAGTTCCCTGTACTCAATCGATGCAAAATATTTTTCAAAATCTGTTCAAATGGTTTATTTCGAGAATTTCGAGGTCATTAATGATCCTAATAGAGAGTACGTGAAAATCCTGCCTTTTTGGTTTAATTGATGATTATATAGAATAATATAATACAATAAAAAGTATATTTATATTTTACTAATAACCTTTTCCAGAAACACGTTTCCACTTAATACATCTTGTTTCAGATGAAAATTCATCGTCACAAACTGTATTAGTAGTACGTGGAAAATCCTGTTTTTCCATATGTTTCCACAGCAATGTTTCGCGGCTGATGAATTGCAAATATTAATAATATGGCTGTGCGTGACGTTTGTGGCTGTAGCATAGCTACTTGTTAAATAATGGGATACGGACATGCGCAAAAAGAAGATGCGCAACATAAAATAAGGATGAAGAGAAAATTACAACAAATGATGTGATAAATATCCAAGTTGCTAATTACATCCTGTAGAAAACCATCAATGTCAATATCTTACCCATTTATAGTAGTAACGTGTACGGCAATAGAGTATGCTCTTTTCATTTTAAAAATTGTCATGGATGTCATGGCACACAGGCAGTATTGGAGCATCACATAACTACGACACCAGTCCTGGTTTTAATTCTAGAAAATTACAATTCCATGCGAACAAATAGACACAAATGTGCTGATGCTCACTTAGAACCATGAGTGGTTTCTGAATCGGTGAACTCCGAGACTGGTTGCTTGGCAACGTCGGTTTGAATGCGATGGCTCGTTTTTTTTTTTTTTTTTTTTTTTTTAATTAGGTAATTAGTCATTTCTGACAAAGTCATGTGACATTTACCGTCATCCCTCTGCTGAAATTTGGAGCACATAACAATAATTGGTCATACAACAAGCCTACATCACCGAGAACTTGTTATTGATGTAATTTGTGTTTTCATCTCAAGGCGGGGATTAGACGCATTCCTCGTTGATATTAGCATATCATTATCCGTACCGCCAACCAAAATGAACGTCTTTAGAAATAACATGCACTTCCTGTTCACTGTAAAGAAGTTTTCTGACTGTGTGGATCGATATGAATAGGGGTTATTAAGAAATGAGTACATTTTACAGTCGACAGAAAATTTCATGTTTGTTAATATGATATTACTATTGCAAAATTTGTTTATTTTTAAGTGTATATCAGTGACAGAAAGGATAATTGCTGCAACTAGTGACGTAAAAACAGAATCATCTTTCAGATATGATATTCCATTTCTTTTGTTGATTCCAATTTTCAGATTTGTCCCAAAGGCTTTACGTTTGATTGATTCTAGATTGTTTATGCGTTTGAATAACTCACAAAATATCGGCAATCGAATGAACGTTTTCCAGACACCGTGCAAACGCTCACACGGTATATTTGGCGCAACGGAGTGTCCTCGTTATAATATATTTTCAGAGTTACTTACACGTAGCACTTTTCCTGTCGTTACATTGAAATGCGATACAAAAAATGTACGCTAATATCGCCACGGGTATCTGCTAAATATCTTGGTGTGTGCGGGAAGAACAATTCCGGACTTTTTCCCATCTTCCGATAATACAGGAAGCTAGAAACTACAGGGGCGTCAAATGACGTCAAATTAGTCATCGTGTTTGTCTTGTTATCGGGCTGCTCTGCCCGTCATGGCACGACAACACATCGTTGTATACATTAACACACAACAGGGTATCCAGAATTAATCATATACTTAAAAACATAAATATTTAACCGAATATGTCTATGACATCCAAATAAACGTAGTTCAAACAACTTCAAGATTAACGCTTTATTTTCATATTTTTAATTGGTAAACTCTATATGAAAATCTCTGTAAATTTAGCATAACTACCACAGCTTACCTAAGTATAGAATCACTATATCAGGTCTATTCAATATTTGAGAAAGATGGCCCACGAACCCCTAATAAAAATTGTACGTGGTGGCTTCTTTGAGCTATTGACTTAAAGACCCCCTTTCCAATATTATATATTATTAAACTCCTGCATTTTAATCGATATTCATCTAATTAGCATAATCTACAATGAGGACAGGTGATCGTGGAAACGTTTCAAGGTTTAGAACACATTGCTTTGAAAAAAAATGGGTCTTAAAACAGAGGATTATCTTTTTGTTTGAAATAAAGTATAACTATTACGATCGATATAGCAACATCGCATGGACTCCAAGATTAACATACGCCGGCGCACAACGTCATCATTACGTAGGAAGGGGGCGTTGATGGGCTGTTTAATCAAGGGGTCAATAAACTGGAGCAAATACACATCCGATTTGTTATTTGATATACAAAATCTACAAAAAGCTCTTTGTCAGGTTTTCTGCACCTCACATAAGGGCATATATTTTTTTTAATATAATTTTTCCAGCAACAAAATAACACTACGTCGTATCCTGTTTGTTCCAATAAAACTATAACGCCATTGTGTGGGAGGCAATGCATGCTGGGAGAATTTGTTCCGGAGGCAGCTGATCAGACCACATCTGTTGGCCGCGTGATATCCACTGGCAGCATGAGTATGATTTCCTCTGCCTCTCTCTCTGTCTGTTTGCCGCCGTAGACCGGTGTGCCGGGTATTACCTGAGTTCGCGGTTGCCATGGCGACAGTAAAAGATCGGCGCACTAGAACCAATAAACGTCAAATGATCGTTATTATGTTCGTAATACAGATTAACATCAATGATTTTCTCCGTCGTCGACAATCGTGCATTGAATGGACGGCTTGCGTAAATAACGTCTGTGACGTGCGTGCAGTATCACTTTGGTGGGCGGGTGGCTCCGCGGTGAAAAAACACAGACAGACAGACACACACACACAAACAAACAAACAACAATAACAACATCAGCGTCGGAACTGCCACGCTTGGAAAGACTGAAAATAAAATGCCAGCAAATTGCAACTCCCTGTGGAGCAAGGAAATGATGTGAAGAATATAGAACAATAAGTAAATATGGCGGCGTAGACTAACAGAGACGGAGCACGCCTGAGTATGGTGTCCGAAGCAAATTATCTCATCACTTTGAGCACAGTCGTCATTAACTAGACTCAATAAAAGCAGACAGCATTATTTAAACGTGATATAGAATTAGAATACAGAACGAGTCGAATCAAATCGCAGATATACGGTATACATTCTGGTTCATTATCAAATATAACAGGCCATTAATATCATTAACATGTACTTTCCATAATACGTATACGCATAATTAGGCTTCGTCAAGAAGCACAGCGAGCACAAATTATATTCGAGGCCAGTCTATTGTCCGGTAAGCTAAAATTGATTCGCGTATATTTGATGCGTAGCTACAGAATTGAATTATTGTTTTAATGTCTTCGATACTACACAAATGAAAGTAAAAAGAACAGACGCGTATACAATTTTTAAAAATAAATTTCTCGGATTTTTTTTTTAGCCGAACGCGTCTTCAATATATTCATGGCTCCTTCTACTACACAATGAACTCTCCGTGGAACCGTATACTTGCATGAAGCACGTATCTCACCTCAGACTGTCGATGCTTTTTGAGGGGAGAAAATAAAACAATACAGAATAAAATAAAATAAAAACGTTTGTGAAGATTACCTGGAATGAGATGGAACAATCAACACCTTCCACACGTCGGTGAAATCGTGGTACTAAAACTGTCCAATGGTAGCAACTACCGGCTAAGCCCTAGCAAAGGCAACAGCAACAGCAGAAGATCCGTCAGCGCTTGCACATACTACTGACTCGATTCAGAGAGAGGCAAACTGACTTGTAACATCTTAGCATACGTAAATTGATTACACGGCGTCACGAATATGACCATTCCATTCAGAAGGAGGGGTGCTAGGATATGATTCAATCGGCAGGGAGTTGGACGCGATTCGCAAGGCTCTACCCGCAGTAATTATGTGAATATTTATTTCGTTTTAACAATTGATATATCAAGCAATTAATTGTAACGGTACACATTTCTACTCACAAATAATAATGTTAGCATTTGGCTGTCGCTTTATGCGTTCACCTTCTTCTGCATCGGCTATAATAATTTCCACGCCGTGTTTTTAAAATTAACCCGTCAAACGTGGAGTACTGCAACAGGGGACGCGCTTACATCCACACGCCCGACTCTACATCACAGCGGCTTCAAAGAGTGTATTAAGAAGGCCATTTTTACCTCTCCTCCCTCCCGAAAAGATAACAGTTGGTTCTATTTATTCACATTAATAACAATGACATCTTGGTTGAAACAAATATTCACAAATCACTGGCAGCGCAGAGGCGTACTAGTACGTCGTAGAACACGCCAACGTTCGTGCACCCGACTTGGTGCCCCTGGCTTATATATACAGTGTTAGTTTAATAAATATGTATATTAATCATTATCCAACGTCAATCACTTTTTTTTATTAATCAGATAAAGCGATACAATCTGATTGATACAATTACGCTTTTTGTCCCTGTTTATAATTTACTTTTAATGTTTATTCATGACGCAACGCACCTGACAGCCATTATTATTTGTCCTAAGCACATAAACGTTTTTATATAAACCACAATTTTTAATTGAAGAAAATGTCATGTTCGTCCAACTTTCATTATTATGGACCCAGAATACTGAGAATAAAAACAAACGCGCCACCGGGATTTTTTTTCGAGTCCGAAATGTCATAAAAAATGGCATTTTTTACACACTGGATTCTATAATGGTGAAATTATTGCTTCATTTATGATAATTAATACGAATTCCAATATTGTTTTTAAAACAATGATATACAATTTAGTGAGTTTCCAGTATGCAATTGAAAGTCCTCTCCAACAATGCATTGCATATATGCGCAGTAACTTGCTCAGTGGTGCAAAATTCGAATTCGGCTCAAATTCTTATAGTATTCAATTAAAAATCAATTCCCCAGAATCTCTTCTAAAGCGATACATAGTTTCGTCTGCTATTTTATGCCGTCAATTGTAGAAAACAAAACACGCGAGCAGTGTTTTCAACTCATGAACATTTTTCATAAACTTAGTAATCAAGTTTACGCATATTTTTTTTCGTTGGCACGAAAGCAAATATCATAAAATAATTTTTGGCCGTAAACCACCGTCAGCACATATTTCCAATTCTCTCAAAAAAGCCGTGACTAAATGGTCGCTACACACTATTGAAGGAAAATAAATTTTGATATAATTAAAATATATATTTTTTGCCGTCTATGAACTGTTAACGTTACATAAAAATGCAAAGTGTGATTACACCATTTGTTCACCGTAGAAATCTCCAAACTGTCCTATCTACCAACATTTTAACACAAGTAACAAATTTGATTTTACCAGGTATAATAGAATTAAATACGAAAAAAGTCACACAAGGTTACGTAATGTTATTTTATTTATAATTCACGACTCGGAAGAACCACGTATTAAACACAAACGAAAAAAACAACGATTTAGCAGTAACGGTAAAATACTTTCCATTAATTATTTTATGCCGACACGGTATACAAGACGCTATGAGCATTGTTTTATTCCATATCGTATCCTTAGTTTCCCAATTTACTAATACGACCCTTTAAACGAAATTACGGAAAATCAATAAACAGATAACTTGCATATTCGCATTATTGTGTAAGTTTGAGCTGTGGTTATTTTTAATTTTTAATTTCGATTAGGTCACAATCTCTTGCGATATGTTTCCAGTGTTCCAATTTTGTTAAACCTAAAGTGTTGAAGTACATGACAGTTATTTGCAACATTTTATATTGGAGAATGTTTTGTTTTTTTCAGTTTTGGCCAATTAGTGATATTAGTAAATATCTATTTAAAAAACAGACCAATCGTACGCAGACGACGAAGATTCTGATTGATTTAGCCGCCATCGTTTTATACAGCGTACCCCGGGATTTGTTCCACGCTAAGTTTAAAGCGCCTGAAATTAATCTTCATCCTGGTCCACCGATTAAAGAACCCCCTTTTAATAATGTGGGGATATGGGAATATATGAACGAGGCTGAGCGCTTCCCTATTGGAGGCGCATATCCTGCATATGAGAGTGAGTCAGAATTTACCAACATTTTACCCGTGGACGAGGTCGTAGAAAGTGAGTATATATTTAATTATTGCACACATCCATCGCTCCGCGTCCCGTTAGATATAATATGGGACCCATAGTGACCTATGAAACACGAGTAAAATACATTGTTTCCACGACATGCGCTTAGCGACGACTGTGTCACTTCAGGATAGCAGCCTACTCTTAAAGCGGGAGGGTCGTCACCTGCGTACGCGCGGGAATTGAGTCCTAAGCGACGACAACAACACACGCTAAAAATGCAAAGGCCCATGGATAGACGCTTGTTTGTAAACAATGACGTTCTATGGCCATCTGACGCATGCGCAGGTGACGACTCCCCCGCTTTAAAATACACATGTGATGTTCAACCACATTCCGCACATGACTCAAACTGAAGTATTTATTTCAACAATTATTTATGTTTCGCAGAAGCAGACACACTAATTAACGGGGGTTACATACACAGCAACATACATTTTATACAATCTGTCCATTCAGCGAGGTGTGATGACCACACACTCTCACATTCTCGCCTTGTTTTACGAGCGCCATTTTATTATGCAAATCAAGAAAATGTTACATCATTTGAGCGAGAATACGAGAACGTGGTGCAGTTCATCTTTCCACGGAGCTGCGCGTGCGTCATTCGAACATCATTCTGATCAATATCATTGGCAATATCTCATCTCAAAACCCCAACAAGCAACATGTTGTTCTTATCAGCCGCTAGTGAATGTTCAGTTTGAAAATGTATTTATGTAAGTATGTTGTTTCATTAAAAATGCACTACGAGAAAATGTCGCCATTTTATATAATAAGTCAAAAACACTGTGGAAAATTACATAGAACAGGAAACAGAAAGACTGCAGCACATTGTCACACCAGCAACGGTATTCTAGCGTTCGATTTTGGAACGGTGAGTCCACAGATGCTCGGGGGAGTAGTTACCTGCGCGTGCGTCAGATGGCCATAGCGTGTCATTGTTTAAAAACAAGCGTCTACCCATGAGCCTTTGCATTTTAGCGTGTGTTGTTATCGTCGCTTGGGACTCAATTCTCGCGCTTTAAGTTAGTCTCGTGGAGTATTATACACACGCGGCTTACGTTACGAAGGGAACGTTTTTATTTCTGGATGAACGAGCCAGTGAAATAAGTTATATTACGTTGTTTGCCTAGCAAAAGGAGACAAAGAGCTTCATTGATGCGGGAAATATTTATATTTATCTTTTGTCACCATGGACACCGGTCTACTAACGAATCCTCAGCGAGGTTTGGTACTATTCATTCGATAACAAGCGTTTTCAATATTTTCAAATTTCTTTAGAAATATTTTCATTCAATTTGAGTAACTTTGAATTAATTACTTTTAAATAATGAAAATATTAAAATGAAACGTGCTATTTGTCATGTAACAGTATCAGAAAAGTTGTTAGCTAGTTGTCAGACGTCTTGTTTTAAATCTCCACCACATGGGAGGAATGTTTCACGTCACAGGCGCAGAGAAGCGTTGAAATGCAAAAGGTCACCTTAATCTGAGAACAAACATGTCTGTCTTTAAGGATTACATTCAATTGTAGGTTAACGCACATCCAAGCCCGGAGACACGAATGACATGATAATAAGTTCATGTCCGTGGTATCTGTTAAACAATGTATTTGCTTGCTGAACCCCCGTTCTATCAACTTCGACACAAAAAAAAAAAAAAAACATTTTTTTTTCATATTTTTTCTAATGAATATTGTAGACAATGACAAATTATATTCATTAGGGCAAAATGAACAAATACATAACAGACAAATTTACAAAATATTTGTTTAACATTGTAAGAAATATGTTGTAGCTAATGTTGCATGTCATGTGTGCACGAGTCTCTTCAAACAAAAGTGATGATGGCAGGTAAACTGAAAAAAAAAAAAATCCTGGCCCATACCGTATGCAATGCAGAAATATTCCTGGTATTCTTAATAGTCATTATTATACATCTGTCACCGTAACGCCATAACTTACAGCGTGCCGTAATTTTGCGTTATTTTACAGGGTATTTTCATCCTGCCATATTAGGAAATGCGGATTCCAAATTTGAAATGATTACGCTCGTACGCGTCTTCTAATAGTGAAAACAAACATGGCTGCCATCGGGGTTTGACCGGACTCCACACAACGAAGTTCGCTGATTTTGTTCTAAACAGACACCGTCAGTCGATACTCCCGTTGTACTGTCTCCTTGCATAATTTGTGGTATCCTCGTAATAACCTCATATTATTTTAATGATCAAGATACTGTTTCAGTTCTTGGTAGCAAATTCTATAACATAGATCAACATAGTACGTCGGAAGTAAGTAGCAGTAAAATCTATGAATCACCACTCGCATATGACTGTTGTCACCTTCTCACTCATATATATTTCAGCTGAATGTAGGATTAAAGAAGAGTACAGAATCTTTTTCTTCTTATTCACATATTATTATATGTGACTCTAGGGCCTAACTTTTTATCAGAATAAATGAAAAAAAGAGATGTATTATCTTTTCTACCATAAATATGCATTTTTTCCTACATATGCCCCGGTTGTAGTACATATGCATACTTTTTTTTAACAAGGCATCATCTTCTTTTTGTTGAATACAATAACACTGTTAAATAGATGTTCTCATTTGGCATCAATGTCATCTGTCTT